GAAGCAAGGTTAGAAACAAGAGGATTGGGATGGTTAGGAAGTTTATTATGGAAGGGTAGATATCTGGGTTGGGCCAAATCTGAAACGTAACGAACATTAAGGTCATTGTGGATGATTTTATTTGTAACAAAGTAAGGAGCATTGAGGATTTTACGAAGGGTTTCGGACTGTAAGGATTGGATACGAGAGGAATTTGAACGTTTGGTGGAGCCCCATAGCTCAACTCCATAAGTCCTAATAATTGTATTAAACTAAATTTCAATCCTATAACATCAAGCCTCAAATAAAGCAACATCTAATATTATGGCTATTTCCTTCCAAATTAAATGTGGCTTCAAAACACAAAATGCTTTTATCTGATAATTAATGAACTTTTTAGTCTTTTTAGTTCATGTTTTATGTTATTTTAAAAAAAATGTATTTATTTTTAAAATATTTCTATTAAAGAAAAAATGATAATCTTACGTTGTTATAATGTCCATCGTCAGTACAAAAAAATAAATTAAAAATACAAAAAAGTGATTTGGAAATGATTTGTTTCAACTTACCATGAGAATGGAGATCATCCACTCCCCTTCTCCAAAAAAAAAAATAATAAATATATTTCTGCAAGTTGAGATGTGGCGTCGAATCAGCTGTCCAAATTCACGCGTGTTTTTTTTCGTCCGCCAATGGACTTTTACAAATGTCATAAAAAGTTCTTTCCCGACGGTAGTTCATTCTATTATCTTCAACTTAAGCCTTAATAGAGCTGTTTATGTTCAATAGTTTCTAAGGAATGGTCATACAAAAAGAACGTCATTTCATTTTATAAACTGTTTTTCTAAAATTATTGAACACAAAGAGCTCTATTATAGTTTAAATTGATGATGTGTCATAAAAATGCAAACACAATGTATTATCGCAAAAAAAAAAAAAGAAAAAAAAAACGACCAGCAGAGGACTGACCCAGAAAATAGCTGATCATACTAGAATCCAAGTTTCGTCCTCCTTGATCAGAAGGAAACTCGAGCCATTTGACCTTAAAGGTTCTATTGCTAGAAGAAAATTATTTTTCCAATCTACAAATAAGCGAAATCGACTTAACTTTGCCAATGGTTACGTAAGTTAAACGGAAGAAGGATGGAACAAATGTTTATAGAAAAAAACAACAAAATTTGGAATGTTTGGTTCCGGAAGGAGGCAGTAAATTAGAGAAGATCTGAAGTTGAATTTTCGGATGAATTTTTGCAAACAGCAGTAAAATACGAAAGTGGCTTCTTAATAGTTTCGAGATCTGCAGTAGAAGACATCTTGTGAATAGATGGGAAACGGTACAGTAGCATTTTTACATACCATGCAATACGATCTGGTTTGGGTTCAAGTTGATTGGACAAAACCTTTTTGCAATTTTTGAAAACTGGAGAGAGAAGGGGGGACTTAGTTTAGCAAATGGGCTTATTGAATAAAAAAAACAATATACGGAATATTAAATAAAATTGCCAAAAATAGCCAATGCAATATTAGAACGATTTTCATTGATACATTCGGCGTTTTAGAGTTTATATACCGGTTTTTGATGTTGCTGAAGAAAGAGTAAAGATTGAAGTGGATAATGAAGTAGTGAAATTTAAACAATAATGTAGCATTATTCAGAGGATAAGAAAAGACAACATAAAGAATTGATCTCTAGGCTTCCTGTAAATTGAAAATAATGCTAATTTAAATATATAATACACCTACAATGTCTGCAAGGTTAAGTCATTTTATAGTTAAGAATATAAAAATACTTTTAAATTGAAATATTTAAAAACAAATGGTTTGTTCAAAAACTTTTTCACAAAGTTCCTAAAACTTCTTCCATTAAATTATTTAATAACATGTGACCTAATAGTATTTAAACATATGTTAATTTAATAGGCTTTGAAGTTTCAAAATGAACATACGGTAAATAATAATTCGCACAGAGGTATCAGTATTTCCAATTTAATTAATAGTGACAGAAGTGGAACTAAAGAACTGTCATTGTTTGCAGAGTTGTGAGGTTTCAGGTTTTGGTCAACAGGATAGAATTTATCTCAAAGGAAACTTAATACTTTAATTCGAAGGAAAATGGAAAGGAAAATCGATTGCGTTTCTAAGGACTTAGACAAACTATGTAATATATAAAATTACACGTTATTTCATAATAATTTTAACTAACTAAACTAACTAAAACGCTGCATATCACCATATAATTAAGGAAGGAGATGGTCCGAAGTGATGGTCATAAATTGACTAAATAGTGACAAAACTATTTTATTAAATATTTTGGATTGAATAGTTTAGATACAGTAATATGCTAGATTTTGTTTCACTTTTACTTTTTTTTTTTTTTTTTTTTTGTATTCTCCCCTTCCTCGCCGTTAAGGCTATACGGGGTTTTCCCTGGCCAGGGGGGGTGATGGCGGGGATTTAAAAGACGCCTTGGCACCGGGACGCGAACTCATGACTATTTTTCTATCACTTATCATATATCAGATTGACGGAGAACGGTGGTGCTGTGCACAACGCGTTAGCCCATTCGGCCACCCCGCCTGGTTTCATACCTGTTTCACTTTTACTACTTACCTCCTCATCATTTCCCAACCAGGTCAGCAAATTTCCCCAACGGTGCTTAAACAGGTTTTCTAGTTCTAAGCGAAATTCCTTGCTGAACACATCTGTATGTCTCTATTTTTATTCTTTTAATTTTATTTATTTATTTTTCTTCTTTCTTTTTTCTTTCCTTTCATCACATCCCTTCACATCTCTGTATGTTCATTATTTCATATTATATCTTTTTTTCTTTTTTTCCAATCTCTCCTATAGATCTGTAAGAGTATATTCACAATTGCATATATTATATTATATATTTATTACAACAATCGTTACCATCTATTTACTTCAGTTTAGGATCTGTTACTTAGCTTCCTCTGTTCATATAGGTTATTGTTCTTAATATTTCAATGTATTTACTGTTAATAATTTTTATCTAAATATTATGTAACTTCCACAATTCTTTATATCTTTTTGTGTCTTGTCTGTTTTAGCCCTGAAAAAGACCTGCAAGTCGGGTCGAAACGTTGCCTTTTAATAAAATATTTAGTATATTTATGACCGACACCCTGGATCATCTCCTTCCTTAATAATACAACTGTCAACTATTAAGTATTCAATACCATATTATCTTTTATTATTTTCAAATTATTATAATTAGAAAATACCGAAGTTTAAACCCTCTTACGGTTTTAATAGGTTTATGATAGCTAAAGTATGTGATAAATAATTTAGATTGAAATCTATTTGATAAAAATCTAACAAAAACTGCGTCAAGTTTTTAATATAACTGCTGTTACAGAGGTAAGAAATTATTAGTAAGCGTTGCCCCTGCAATCTTGATAAACCGAATAATACGAGTTCAGATTCTGGTGCCCGTTGGACTATGGAATTCTGGTATCAATCCCCCGCCCCCTACTCTGGCCCGAGAAAAAACCCTAAAGATGGAAGGTGAGGAAGAGTAGTAGTTGTGTGAAGGATAGCTATATGATTTAAGATTTATCACTGGGATCATTTCTCATCAGATAGATCGGTTGGTCTTTCTCGGAATTCCATTAACAGTAGTATCATATGATCTTGTCCCAAACTATAAAACTGGAGTAACACTTACGATGCAGTACTGTTGTTTGGTTTTATACTTGTTCATGTAAAATTGAAGTTTATAAATTGTTAGCAGTACTAATCTCTGAATACCTTAAAGATCAGTTATTGTTTATAAATTATAGAAATGGCGAATCAAAAGTTTTTAAAACGTGTATTGTATGATATACTATATATATTATACGGTAATGTAGATCCATTTTACGGCTGTTAGAAGGGATGGATTTTGATGAGTGCGAAATCAAACGAACCATAATTTCATGAGGTATAAACAAATATTAATTTGAAAAAAATATAAACATTATTTTTACAATAAGTTGGGAGGTTTCAAAAGACAGATGGTTTGAAAATTCGACAGATTGTGACAGGATAAATATTGTTTCAAAGATTTTGAAGCAGACATTAAAGAGTAATCCTGTCTGTATGTAGAGTACAAAACACTACATACAGCATTACTCCTGAGTGAATCGAAAGAAACTATTGTACACTGAATTCTGTGTTTTTAAGCACTAAAATCTATCATTTTAAAGATAAACCACAATTGTTACCGAAAGCGTCATACATGATATGGTTGCTATAGGATACTTATAAACATGTTTTCATTAATATATTAATATTTATGTCTTCAAAGAACTTAAAATTTATTGAAAAGGATATAAAATATATAATGGATAATAACAGTATAACCTTTGCCACTTTGGATTATATAAAAAGAAATGTTTTGATATTAAAGTGAGCTTTATCATGAGGGTATATTAGTATAACCTTATTGTGAGTAATAATATTTCAAATCAATATTATCATGAATGGTGTATTATATTAATAACAAACTTTTATTTATTTTTTTTTTTCTGTTGTCACTACAGACCTTGTGGATTTTTTTCTGCTTAACCAGACTTCGGGAACTCTGCCTGCATCTATTGCATATATCAGCCAGGCATCTGTCAGGTTATGTAATGAATTTTTTTTTTGGATTAAAGTTATTAGCAAAAGGTACAATATTCCAATCTGAAGTACCAAGAGCTAAGTTGTAAGACACAGAGGTTCGCTGCCTGTGAATTTCAGGATGAAGACATTGGACTTGCGGGAATCGATCTCGAGCCGCAGTAGTCTGAGTACTCGGGTAACGATTGCACTTATTTTATTTTTATTTATAAATTTTTTTATGTATAATAATACATTTTTTATAGTATCAAAGGCAGATGTTTTAATTACAGAACTTGTATTATTTAAGTTATTTATTAAACAAGTGTAGAGAAAGTGATTTTATTTTGATTGAATTTGTGAATGAAGAAAGGAACAATGTTGTTTTAACGACTGTGAAGACAGATCGATAGATCGACATGAAGGGTGAAGTATTCCCGAAGGGGGGGAATGTTGAAATAGAACAGGTCCAGTTCCCAGTGTTCGGGTACGTGTACCTGGTCCTCACGGTGCTGATACAGTTCGTCTGGGGCGGCATGAAGGCAGCCAAGATCCTCTTATTGGTGGATGAACTTGAGTTCAGCGAGAACGAAGCGGTCATCATCATCCACTTGCAGGCTTCGCTGATGGACTTGGTAATGTGCGTCGGTAACATCTTAGCGAACCTCTACTGCGGTCCGTACTTCACCTGCGTCTTACAGGATCTCTTAAAGGCACTCTTCACCTGCCCGGTGTGCACGCTATCGACGATGGGAATCATGGATCTCAGTAGTCGGAGGTACTTGTATGTATCTGGACAGGTCCTGGGAATCTTCACAGCCTTCGGAAACAGTTGCGTGGCTACTTTCCTCGCTAATCAGTTCGACACGGATAACTACGTCAAGTTCAACAGGGCTATGCTCGTCTTGACCTTGGTCTGCTCGGCGATAGGTATATTCACCATACCACATTTGATCCAATATTATCAATGCTTTTGGACGGAAACTTGTTACTCAATGGTGTGGATATGCGAGTGGGCCTTGTGTATAACCACATTATTGGTTTTTTTGATTTTATATAAGAAATTGCAACATAAAAGGCCTAAATACAGTATAAATTACATGCTGTTGAAACTTACACGCGATGCGTCTAAAAAGAAGCAACGAGAGGCGAAATCGGGAACGGTGCGTGATAGACCACTATTGGAGTATTCAGATCTGTACTCGCCCCAGTTCAGGAGGGACGCTCAAAAGATCCTGTCCATGTGGACTTTTTATTTACCATTGGCTGGTTACTGGGCCCTCCATTCCCAACAGGCGACTACTTGGATCCTTCAGGCCAAGAGGTTAGACGGGAATCTCTTTGGCTGGTCCACCGTCTTGCCGAACGAGCTGTGGGGTCTGATACCGCTTACAGGAATAGTAGTGCGTATGATGGTTCAAACGTTTAAGGAAGACACTAAGTACCCTCTGAGGATGACTGTGGTATCTCAGCTGATAATGGGCATTGCCTTCCTGTTAGCCGCCATATTGGAAAAATACATCATGGACGCAGAGGATTATAAAGTGCACATGGTCTGGGCACTCCCCCAGCTCCTCTTAGTCTCCATCTCGGATATCATCCTCGTTTCATCGTACCGCAAATTCATAATTCGGGAAGTTCCCCCAAATTTCCGAGGAGTCACCCAGACTCTTTTCGTCTTGTCAAGGTGCCTCGGCAACGCCATCGTCGTTCTCGTAAACTTAATGGAGATGCATACAGGATTTCCTAATCGTCTGGGACAATTCATCATCTATGCCAGCGTCCTAAACGTATTTCTAATCATGTTTACAGTGCTCAACAGAAAATTTGAACGCCTCCTCCGGAGGGAAAGAGATTCTATAATCAGGTCGTCCACAAGTAACTAACTTGAGTCATATTACACATTAAACTTCATACTTTGACCGAATTTGTGGAGATACAATGAACGATTTAGACATGAATATAGTGACTACCAGCATCGAGCGTTGCTGTCACTTGATGGTTACATTGAAAAATGAATTATGATGAAATAGTAAAGGAATATCTCTTGTACATATGATTGAATTATTTAATATAATAAAGTTTCATACCAAACTAACTTTATTTTACATTTCCAAGTAAAAATAAATATTACATAATTTTTTTATAATTATTTATTAACTAACTTTTGTCTATTAGGATCAGTATTACATCCTCAACATTTATATTTGTTAAAAATCACATACATTTCAGCCATTATATGAATTTTCATTTGGGAATTAAATCTAGTGAGTGGAATTCGAAAAAAATCGGTATTCGATTATCTATGTATTGATCCTCAAAATCCTTGAAAGTTTTATCTAATCAAATTCTTGACCCACATAAGTTTACTTCCTACTACATTTCACAACCATTTTGTTCTTAAAAATTAGTTAACAATTTATTTAAACTAGTGTTAGTCATAATATTCGATAGTGTACTATATTAATTATTGAAAATTTGAGGAAAAACTAAATGGATTTGCATGTTATTACATTTTCTTTTCTACAGTTATACAGGATGTTTCGTAATTGCAGGGCACTATTTTAGGTATTTGTTAACTAACACAAAATAAACAAAAAAGTTCATAACTTCCAATTGGTAACAATTGAGTATATTTCTATTATCAACGTTACATGTTAACAAGTTAGTTGACGTTTCGGGATATTTACTCCCATCTTCGGAACTTCAACCCCAATAATCTTGTGGATGCAAGGCTTAAAATTAATAATAATGTGCTCCATCGTCAAATTTCTAATTCATGTTATAAAATGTATCATCTAGAGCAACATCCTGCTTTTGACCAATAATTGGGTGTCTGATAGGCAAAAGTTATTATTGCCAAATAACTACAAATAAATAAACAACTTCACAGAAAAAATAAAAAAGTTCATATTAATATATATAGCAAACTCATTTATTAAACAAATATCAAAGGTTAATGATTTATTTTTTATTTACTACAATAAGACTGACTGAACAAAGTTTAACGTGTTCAATACTAAATAACAGGTTTTAATCACCTGATAAACAAATGAACGATAAGCAATGGCAATCTATGGTTTATTCTGCGGCAGTTGGCACGCAAGAAGAGCTAAGAAATTGGATCTTGGAAGCCGCAGTAACTATCAAGCATGTGCATCATCCGTTGCATTCAACAAAACGGAGGCCCCCTTTGAACAGTTACTCTAAATGTTGTAATAATAATAAATAAATCTTTAATCTTCGATATATGTTTAATAAATGAGTTAATATAAAGATATAAGTTAATATGTACTTTTTTTGTTTATTTTGTGAACAAATACCTAAAATAGTGGCGTGAAATTATGAAACAATCTGTATATATTCGTACATATAATTTTATATTTATTTACAAATACAGCACGGTTTTTGTATTTATATGAAAATGAAATTTTAAATCCATCGATACTTATTTTAATTAAAAAATAATTGAACCCATTCCTACGGTAGCTACGAATTGTTTCATTTTAACATTGTACTTATGGGCTATTATAAAATTTTTGAAATGCATTTTTAATGGAGCTACAGCTTAAAGCTTACAGCTAACAAATCATTGACACCATTAAAATAATCCATTTGTTTTATAAACCATAGTTTCTGAGCTATGTATATATGCCTAATGGTATTTGAAAGCCAATCCATAAATGATTATGGACTGTAGGCATATTAGTTATTAAACTGTTATTTTCTAATTTATTAGTTATTTATTTGTAAAGTTTACTAAAATTAAATGGATAAATCAGTATTACGAGAATATAATAGGCGACTACCGACCTGGATTCAGAAAAGGGAGAAGTACGCTAGACCAGATCTTCATCCTAAAACAAATACTAGAAAAACAATGGAAAGTAGCTCAGGACGTCCACGCACTATTTATCGATTTCAAAGCAGCCTATGATTCTGTGGACAGGAAAATCGTGACTGAACTAGGAATTCCCGCTAAAACTCACATTTACTGGTTGTCATTACCATTATTACAGGTGTGAATAAAAAAAAAATAAACCAAAAAAAAATACAAGGGGAAGTATCTGAAGCCTTCAAAGTTCGAACGGGCTTATGGCAGGGAGATGGACTATCACCGATGTAGTTAAACTTACCACTGGAGAAGGTAATAAGAGCAACATCACAGGAATCATATCGATAGAATGGTTCACATCGGAATGAAGCATAAAATCCTTGGATATGCAGATGTTATAGCTGTCTTTGGAATTAATCAAGAAGATATTGAGAAACTGGCTACAACACTGATAAGAGAGACAGAGCAGCTCGGCCTATAAGTAAATGAAGACAAAACAAAATATATGATAATAAGATGAAAATCCCACCGCATTAACAGGATCTGCGTAGAAGGAAAATCATTCCCGAGAGTAGAAAAATCCAAATACTTCGGCTCCACAATAACCTCAATCAACGACCAACGGGTAGAAATAGACCAGCGAATAACTTGCGCAAAACAGAACTTTCTTCTCTCTCTCTCAAAAGTATTGAAATCCCGAAAAATCTCAAACTAAGGGTGTACAATGCTATGATAAAGCTTCTAATATATGGCTGTGAGACCTGGACACCAACCAGCAGCCTAGAAAAAAGTGTTGAAAGATTTGAGAGGAAAATTCTCCGCACGATAATCGGAGCGATTTGGGATCAGAGTACTAATACATGGATAAGAAAGATCAATAAAGAACTGCTTACAGAAACTGTCAATTAATATCCCATGATATGAAGTGAAATAAAATCCCATGAAGGCACGAAGGTTAAGATGGGCGGGTCATGTAGCTCGTAGCAATCCGTTTGGAAGCCTCTAGGTAACAATGAATGCCTCAATAGAAGGCAAAATACCACGTGGAAGGCCAAAATGCAGATGCATAGATATAATCAACAAATATGCAATAGAGCTACGTGCAGATAAATGGAAAGAAATAGCCCAAGACAGGCAGAGGTGGAGCAGGCTTGTTAAGGTGGCAACAGATCTGATTGGTCTGTAATGCCAACAGAAAAAAAAAATGAAGTTAATAAATTTTCATTGCCTGTCATGGATAGGCCAAAAGTTGTCACACTAATTGTAAGTGGATAATGTTGGGATTTCACAAAGCGAAAACTCATCAAATTATTTAATAATTTAATATTCTAAAGCAGACTCTACACGGTAATTCATGAATGAACATCACAAGAAGTGCCAAGATTGCCCGCTATCGCTTTGATCATGAAGACCCTTACACGTTCAATCATTACTGATCATTACTTATGTGAATTTTCCACTTTTTTTTCTCTCCAATTTATTGCCTACTTGACTATTTAAATAAAAAATAGTTGAAAATGGTTAATAATAATAAAGACTAGGGATATAAACAACTATTTACTTTTATGAAATTATTTACTTAATAACGAGACCTAGGTAAACTAACCTATCTAGTAGTAAGGTTAGTCTCTCCACTACTTTAACCTCTGTCCCGCCTCCACTTCTCGTGAAGGATGTTCGGAAATCCGCAGCGCACCACCATCAGTACTTCATTCACTACCTTACACGATAATTAGGATCGTCATTAGTACAATTCCGATTGACCGTGTAGGGTCCCCTTAAAAGATTACATGGCGATTTTCGGAATACACGGTCGTTGATACCTAATTATTTAAATACAATATCAGATCTAGAATTATTAAACTACAGTAAATGAATTTAAGGTTATAAACATATGCTTTATACATCCATGAAATATTTTTGTATTTCAATTCTTCTTTCACACAAGTACAATGAAATAGTATTTTAAACAATTTCATTGTTCTGATTCGGTGGACTTTAAATACTTTTTTTCAAACTTAAAAAAATATTACGAAGTTTACATTTAGTAAGAAAATATCATTTCCTTCGAAACATGTGATTCATATTAAATAATGTTAGTTTTCAGAAATCATTATTTATATTTTATTCGTTTCTCTCCGTTTCCTTCCACAACTTTATTAATTTGATATTACTATTTCTAATATTCTCCGCTTTTCTACGATATATTATAAGTATACCTTCTGACTATTATTTCCGAAGATTCATTTTCCAGCTGGACAAGCATTTTTCTTTTTTTTTTTCCTTTGTTCAATTATCAATTTCTTTCAAAAGTTATATTTAGCGTTTTTCTCATAATTCCTAACAGTGAGAGACAATTAATTTTTTTTTAAATAAACCGAATTAAAGGTACTTCAGAGGGCGGCATATATGAAACTTGAACATTTAAGCCCTGTAAAGTGACATTAATGGTGGCTAAGACCTAACTGATATTAAAAAAAAAAACTTAATAACACACTGATTTATCGAATCAAAATCGTTAGAGCCGTTTTCGAGGAAAATCTAGAAATGTGTAATATCGATTATATAAAGTGCCACTTCCGGTTGGCCGATTTTGACGAAAAGTTGCTGTAACATCTGATGTATATACAAACCTTAAATATGCATTTTCACTTTCATTTAAATTTTCGTTTTTGAGCAAGGTTGGTCACATACATACACAAACACACAGACCATTTAGCGGGACATGGTTATTAGGACTCAAAGAGACCTTAAAACATGTATTTCCGTTTAAAACTCAGATTCTAAAATTTTCACGACCGCAATACTTTCCTTTACTATATATTTCATATATAGGTAAGTTAAAGTAAATAAGAAATCCACAAAAATATCTTATCGAACATGATTCTTATCCATATCAATTATTTGTTTATGAAATTGAAACATTTTTGAAATATCTGATTAAAAACATTACAAAATGTGTTTACTTTTTGAATCATTCAGAAATTTATTTTTACTACCCTTTGTAACTTTTTTTTCAGTATCGTTTCGTTGAAAAGAATGTTATCTAGA